CCCCCCCCCCCATCCCGAGGAAAAAAAAATAAATCGCTTACGGATGGAGACTATGCCTCTTAGAGAGCAAATGCAGAGACCTCCGGACGGAGCGAACACTGGCCCTCAGTCATTCGCTCAAGGTGACTGATTGAAAACAGAGCTGTATATGTGCATAATAAAACAACTCTTTCTGTGGAAGGTATGTGGACTGCAGAGATAGAAGTCATTTGATCAGCCTATGAGGTTTTATGTGTGTGTGAATTAGGAGGCATGTGACCCAGCGTGAAGGAAATGCCAGTCAATCTTGTTACACGCTGTCATTTTCCACAGGCTCTGCCGCTGCGCTTTGGACGCTTTGCCATGAATAGTCAATAGCTCCCAGTTTTGTGCAGGGAAGGGGATGGTTGTTGCTGCTATTGCAGAGCATCCTTGCTGCCTGATCTCCAAAATTTGCCCTGTCTTTGCCTTCGCGGGAGAAAAATCAAAAGGTGCCTAGGTGCTCAGTGCTGCAGCGAACGTGGAGCGAGGTATTTTACACAACACCCTTAAAAAGCTCCATCCCATTGGCAGCATTTATTAATATTTCACAGGAAACGGGGGGAATAACATATTTCTTAAAGATACAGCTTCCCCCTTCCTACGCACATGGAGGAAGTAGGGGCAGGTTGAAAGACAGACTTAAAAGGATGATTGCACATTTTCCTGGTATGCATGGCCTGTCAGTCAGCTATGCCTCTGAACTGATAATGAAATACCCACATGTGCCCAACACGAGGAAGTTCAAACAGAGGTTAGTGGCTCTGTTTTGTGACCTTAGCCTATAATCATTTCTTATAGTAAAAGTGAAGAGTCAGAAGAGCCAAACTATTCCTAACACACAGGACTTTCAACTAACCAACTAACTAAATAAATCTCTGCGTTGACGGAAAGTTCCTCCAGCAGAAGTCCCAGAGCTGAGCTATTCCCAGTTTGGAAACCGAAAACACAATCTGCTTCTCAGAATCTGGCGTCCAGTAAGAATTCACCCAAGCAGCTTACTTCTATCGTGCACCAAAACCTGGTGACTGCCTCGTGAAACGTGCGGCAGAAAGGAGGACTTGCCCTTGGATGGTTTCTGATCCTCCTTCCTATGTCTGCATTGTTCCAGCTTGAACTTCTGAATAGCGGTGCCGTGAGCGAAATCTGGACTGCAACGTGTGGGTTTTTTCTAAGAAAAGCTGGCGTGCTCTGTGCGTGCAGGGAAA